CAAAGGCATCACGCCGCTACCCATTGATGCCTATATACAGCACAAAATTCACATGCATATCTCAGACCAAACTCTACGCCTCATAGCCTTGGATGTGACGGGGGGGTATCAGACGGGTGCAGTCAAAGCTATCTGGGACGGAAGCCAATCTCACTTTTGTGAATTTTGTGGCCAAGCTGATACGCATGCCCATCGACAACTTCACTGTCCTGTCTTTGGTCATGTTCGCGACAATCATAAGGAAGCAGTCACATTACTGGAAACTCACCCTAATTTGCTATATTTCCCCCTCGCGACAATCCATCCTCAACAAATTGTTTATAATCGACTCAAGTGGTGTCGTGTTGGCCCATTTCTTGATGTGCCTGATATCCAGCCTACAAGCCATTATGTCTTCTTCACGGATGGCACATGTGACCGCCCACGATATCAAAACTGTTGTAGGTCAGCCTGGGCTGTGGTCCAAAAAGTCTTTCATGATCCGCATGATCCCTCAATCAATCATTTTCGAGTCACACAAACATCGCATGCAAGAGGACTTCAATCAATTAATCGCAGTGAACTCGAATCGGTTGGTTGGCTAGTTAATCATTTCCACCATCATTTGCCTGAAGAACTTCTCTCTATTTATACCGATTCAAGCTTCGTTCAGAAAATTGTCGAGGCCATAGCGACCAACACACTAACTCCAAGACTCTTTCAACTGGCTCATGCGGACTTAGTTGCATTATTGCAGAAAACATGGGGAACCCGACACTCCATCAGATTTTCAAGATCAAATCGCACCGATCACTAGAAGAAGCTTCCGGGGTAGACGACCTTTATACCATTTTGGGCAATACCGCAGCAGATGAAACAGCTAAGATGATTAATAAGCGTGATCTTGAGCCGCTGCTAACTGCAACTGACTCCATATTTGTGCATAGCCAGAAGCAACACGACGCTTTGCGACTCATATATGCATATCTTGCAGAGCTCAATGCCTTGCACAGTCAGTTGAAAAAAGAAAAAGATAAAGAGGAGGCGGCTACTCATGTCTATAATACCCTGGATGCTATCTCTCACTACCAGACTCATTTACAGACTTGGAAATTAGGTGACGCATCTTGGAAATTTGATAGCCCGCTCGCTCCGGCTGTAGCACAAGCATGTCCAGCGGGTGCTAATACAGCCTTTCGTGTTTGGTCCTTTTTAAAGCAACTTAGTTGGCACCCTCCGGACATCCCAACTTTGGCTGATGACTGGGCATCACCTGGTATGAATTGGTTGTGAGCTATACTCTTTTCACAGGGGTGGCCTTACCTGTCTGGATTTACAGCGAGAAAGAACGTTTACCAACACCGTATGCATTTGACGCGCCAGAAGTTCAAATTCAAAAAGATGCTGCTAAGAGCTTGTGGAACCAGGCTAATACTTTGCGAGCTGTGGTACGTTATCTTGATAATACGTTAACAGAACCAATGATTCCAAAGTATAAGAAAACAGGTGCATCGTCGCTTGTCCGTCTTGGTTTCCATAAAAGCTTGGTTGGGGGCATTAATTCACGACCGGTCTTGCCTTATGCGGATAAAGTGATCCAAATTCTGTGTGACTATGCCTCTATGCCTGCGCAAACTTACCCACATCATGTTCGTTTACAGCTCCCGCCGATGCACTGTGCTTGCCCGCTCGAAGTACCTTTTGTAGAAATTCCATTCAAAAAGCGCAGTGGCCTATACCAGCGGATTAAGAAGTGCATACGTAACCACTTAACTCTGGAGACGATTGACATCGAGAACTGAGAGGGCAATTTAAAATCGAAATTAGTAATTCAGTACGGTTGATCACGTTTCTCTTTGCAATGTACATTGGTCAACCTCTGGTGTGGGGGATATTTTCGATATGTGGATACTTGTCTACCTTCTAGCACCCCACGTATGTGGAAGGGCTCAGAGGGGCGAACGTTCGGACTGTTCGCAAGTGAGTGTGTGTGGTACTGTATACAGTTTTATACCTTCAACCTAATCTTATTTGCTCCAAATGCTGGAGCGCAAATATAACTGTTTGTAATATAATTGTTTCTTTGTATGGAGCATGCATGCCTAGCATGCCTCACCAAGGCAGCTTCTTGTCACCCAACAGGATTTACCACACCAAACGACCTGGAAGATTTTGGTTGACCAAAACTAAACACACCAAAACCATTTGGTTGACCAAGCTTTTGCACGAGCCCTGCAAGGTTGCCGTTAGCTGGTGCTCTGGAAGTTCCTGCCCTTTGCCTCAGAAGATGCGCTTTTTGTGGCAACAATGTTATACTGCATATCTTTTATATTGACTGTTGTACTGTCGTACTCAAAAGGGATGGACGCTTCGGTAGAGCAAACTGCGGTTTACATTGTAGCATGGGAGCTGGCCTAGTCATACCTAAATGCCAGAAGGGCAGAGGATTTCTACTACGATAGATCGTTAGATTGAAAGCGGAAAAAGCTGAAGCAAAGGGAACGGCTGAAACGGCTAAAGGGGTTGGAACAGCGGACGAGCAATAACTGACCTGGATCCAGAACGTAGTAAGATCTGCTTTGCTACTCGTACAGTTCACATTCAGATGCGCACATACCTGTGCTTTCATACGCTTGTGTCTTTGTTCTGGGCAGATTTGCGGACCCCAATTGATGCACGCCTTCTCTCATTCTGTTTCCATCATGCTCGCCACTCGACCAGCTACCCGCTGGAGTACTGCAATAAGCTGATAACTTGAAATTGCACCTTTAAAGACAAAACAGGAACTGAGCACATGCTCATCGGAGAAACCCTTCAGCTGTCCAATGTGTTTAGTGAGTCTGGTGGCGGGGCTGACTAGGATCCAACCGAAGCACACCTAAATATGAGGATCGGACAAGACCTAAGGGTTTTGGGGCAGCCTGGTTCCTGGAACCGATGTTGTGCCTGACTCCTTTTGTGGCTGTTTGGTGCTTGCTTCTCCTCGTTTCCTCCACTTCGACTGGACAAGACTCGACTGCTCGGTCAGACTGAGGTCATCGCCTTCTTGGACCCTGCTGGCCGTGGCGTGTGTTGCGCCTCTCGGTGAGGATTGAAGTCGATTGAGCTACTAGGGGCTCCTGGCCTTACTACTAGGAGCAAGAAGCTACTAGTAACAAGTAGCTGGTGATCGACGGGTTGGCCGACCTGAATGGCCCGAACTGTTCGTGGATTCAGTTCGTGGACGAAGTCTGGGGGCGTTCATGGTGCAAGGACACAAGCTGTGGGTGTTTGGGCAGATCTTAGGAAATTGGAGAGAGGAAATTGGGGCTTCGGACCGGCTTCGGACCTGGTTTAAGTTTAGTTTTAGCATGTTTCAGCTTGGAAGCAGACTTCTCGCTCCAGGTGTCTCCTCCCATGGATGCAGAGTGTGTCACGACCTCGGACCGCTCGGACCACGGAGTTTGCGGCGCTGCAGCTTTGGTGAAAGTATTAGTCTTGCTGACGAATCAATTTGAGGGTAGTTTAAATCACCAACCAGAAACTGATATATCGATATCAATCCATATTATACTCGAGATAATATACAATTAATGTATATATAAAATATGATATCGTATAGTTCAATACGATATAGTATAGTGTATAGTGTATAGTATAGTACACTACAGTACAGTACAGTATAGTATAACATAACAAAATAACAATACAACATACTGTGTGTACATATAATAACCAAACATATACTAGCTTCTCGGATATTGCCAGCATGCTTGAAAACTGCACTGACACTGACACTTCCGGTACTTTCTGATGCATTTTCCTGTCACCTGTTTGTTTGGATTGTTTGACCCTTTGCTAGCGGGCATTCATGGCAACTCTTGGGGTCATACTTTTCTCAGCCCAGCTGGGGGAGTGTGCCACTAGGCCCTCAGCTGGAGGGACTCATGACAGACAGTCCTGCTGATTTCACTTACATGGACCAGAAATCTTTTCAGAACAACTTTAAGACAGTGGAGGTGCATTACTACGACTACTCAGTGATGGTGTCCTTGGATGGCCTCAACTACATGCAGCGCCGGGGATCCCTGGTGGGTGTGTCCAGGAGGATCCAGGAGGCTTCCCTTGGCTGACGCTTTTTCAAGCATCTAGAGATCTAGAGTTATATAGAAACATGTTTACTCGTTCAAACAGAGTTTCGTCAGTGAATTCCCTCGATGGTCTTCGCATTGTCCACGCTTTGTAAGCCCATTGGGCTTAGACTTTGAAAGCCAAGAATTTGATTTCTGGACTTTGAACAATGAGATCAAAAGAAGGAACATAAATGGTACTTCTGATTTGGATGAGTGAGACTTGCAAGAATTCTGCCCACAATGGATGGAAGTACTTGGTGCGAATGCCGTTTGTGCGTTAGATCTACTTTGGAACCCAGATATTTGAGGACTTTGAGGTGTAGAGGCATGTAGAGGCTTTTATCCACGATTTTCTTGTTGAGTCAGTCGAGCTGCAGATCCAGCTGAGGCAGTTTGCCCTTCAAGATTTTTGACATCCACGCCTGACACCGAGGGCCAGTTCGGCAATAGACGTGCACTGCATGGATCTTCATACTGTGCTACATCGAGGTGATCAAGGAAACATAGCGAAACATGGATCTAAGCCCTTTCATTTGCTTTCCTTTTGCTAGCAGTCTTTTCTTAAGTGTGCATTCAATTGCATTCATATTGATCACCATGTTCGCTGCTTCATCTCGATGCATTCGCAGCCCCAATTTCAGTGACAGGTGGCACGTGGCAAAGAGATGAGTTGTGAGTCATTGAACGATGTAAAGGTCGATCGGGATTCGCCAATCCCAGCTGGGTTCACATCTCCAACCACCATTAATTACTTCCATTTCACAGCCCATGTCGTCCAAAGATCCATCGAAGCTGACTACGAGTGGCTACCAGGCTCACCGCAAGGCTGAAGGCGAGCTGAAGGGTGCAAAGCCGCCGCAAGGAATTGAGGCAAAGATGGCACTGACGAGCCCCAATGATCTGAAGGTCCGAGAATTCCCGAGTATGGAGGCCTTCGCTAGTAGGTTGGAGGCCATCGCTATTAGAACAAGACAGAAAGAAAAGGAAGAATGGTCTCATATAGTTTGCTATTAGGTTGGAGGCCATTGCTTCCAGGTTGAAGGTCCGAGAATTCCGGAGTATGGCATTCCCAGTTTCGGCCCGAGCGTTCTTCCTCGAGCGTGCGGAATGCGTAGGGTTAATTGTTTTCGTTTCGCTTTGGGAGTCTGAGGGGTAGAGCGTTGTTCGCGTGGCGGTGCTTTCGTGTTCGCAACCGCTTGCAACTGTCCGTGACCGTCCGCAACCGTTTGAATGTGATCGATAAGGCCCTGCCATTGGGGAGTGGCGTTCGCAGTGTGATGTCTTGGAGGTGTTGAGTGTCGCTGTGCATTGGAATTTGCTTTTCAGGCCCTTGCCTCGAAGCTGTGTTTTTGCCTCACAAGAGTGTCCGACAAGTGTGTGCCACAAGAGGGTCTAACAGCAGTGTCCCACAATAGTATCAATAGTGTCCCACAGGACTCTGCCACAACATGTCCTACAAGAGTGTCCGACAGGAATGTCAGTGTGCGACAAGAGTGTCTCACAAGAGTGGCCTACAAGAGTGGCCCAAAACGTGTGCAAGGAGAGTTCCCCGCAAGACCCCACAAGAGTGTCAAGCAATGTTTTGCCGTCTATTTTCGAGTACGTGTATGCATTCGGGTTCGTGGGTTTCATCATATTTTTAAAACGATGTTGTGTGTTTAGCGGTCCACACCCGGTCCGCTCATCCCCTTAACTGCAGGGGTGGGGTAGTGGCCCGCCTGTCCGCCTAGTGTTGCGCCCGGGCATTCAACCCGGATCCGATGCATTAGGGATGCATCATAGCCACTTGACCATACCGGCCGTCATTGGTTTTAACCGATGTGCGGACTTGTGATGTTGGATGTGAACACCACTCACCTGTGAGTACAACTTGATGGAGCGGAATATGCTGAGTACCCGGCTGTTCCCATCCAAGGTGGCCTTTGAGATGCTGGATGTGAACAAAGAGGGAGTGCTGGGGAAGAAGCAGGCCGGCTACAACTTGGAGGGGCTTAGATTTTTCTTGCCAGAAGTGCAGGAGTGAAGCAAAGGATGTTCATGGATTTCCTGCTGAATGAGGCTTCTTTTGGATGGTCGGAATGCAGGGATACAACTGCACACTTCCCTCTCCTTTTGCATGACTTGGCTCTGGGAGCAATGCAAAGGGGGCAGTTGTTTGTTTGTGGTTTGAATCACCTGTGAACAATCAAGTGGGCAGAAGATCCGAAGATCATCTACTATGACAGAGGCCTGCTTCAAAACTATGAGACTCCATCAGGAAAATCAACATTACATTTCCCATGTATTATTTTTTCAAATTCTTTGGAAAAGAAGGATCTCATTATGATATCATTCTCATCTCATCTCATGATCTCATTCTCAGTGCCCTCCTCGTTCACAAGATCCACTGGACACCAGGCTCGGGACTTCCTCCGCTGTGCCGGGTGGTGCCTCCCGGACGACGACTTGGATGCGATGCTCCTCCCGCCTGCGGGGGCTGGGGTGGGCGCGAAGTCAGGAGGTGCAGAGGGTGCTGAGGGTGGTGCATGAGGCTATGAGGATTACGAGGTTTGACATGGTAGGACCACTGTAGGCGGTTTTATGATCATATGCAACTTGTAAGTCCATGTCGCTCTTTAGTGAAGTTGAGCGGAGCAAGCTTTTAAAGGAAACTGGGATGCGGAATGCCTTGTTAGCTTCACTGCAGTGACAAAACCCGTCCCAAAGCCAACTGTGCAACTGGTTGAATCACGCCGTTAGGAGCAGAGCGCACGAAGTGGAACTTAAGCATGCTGATGGACTTGCTGGCAGCCAATCAGGACAAACATGTTCCATCTTTGTCATCTCTGATGGGGAAGGGGGAGAAAGAGGACACCAGAGGTAAAATATGCCTTTAGGCATCCTTTGGCGTCCTTTGGCCCCCAATCCCAAAAACCTTCAAACGTCATCTCTTTTAAAGCATCCTTCGGCTGCAAATGTCTATCACCTTCTTCCCGGAGGACCGGGAGAATGTGAGCGTACAGGCCGTGCAGCAAGCGTTAAGGCGCTTGGCGAGCAACCGGGCGAAGATCAGCAAGGAGAGGATCTTGGAATTCATTGCCCAAGACCAGGAGCTTTCGGACATTTGGAGTGGCATTAGAACCTCATGATGGGAGGTAAAGATGAACCAGGTAAAGGATTCTGTTCATGTGCTGCGGGCACATGGTTTTCCCATGTCTTCCCAACCACTCGGACTCTAATCCAATTTCAACTTCAGACGGTCCCATCATTTTGAGACAGCTCCAGACTGAATGAAGGCATTGTTTGAAGAGGGCACTCATGGAGTTGATAAAATTGTGTTTGTGATTTGTGTCGTATTTACCCCGTGTGACTGTTGGATGTGGCCCTCTTCTAGTCAAGGATCAGGCCTCTTTCCGCAGTTTCCGCAGGTTTCAATCTTGACCCCAGCCACCTTGAACATGCCAGAATTTTTGCCTTTGATAATCTTTGTTCATATGGGGCAAATCCTTCACCATCCAAGATGGACAACGCCTTGAGCCCATTGAACATGTTCTCTATGTCGGGTGTTCACTAAGAGGATTTGAGGATGTTTACAACAAGTGGTTTCTTGACATCCGAGGAAAAGGACATCGATCAAGTGCTGGGAGCGATTGGCATGGGTGGAGCCAAGCTGTTGGACTGTGACAGCCTGGCGACGAAGCTCTTGGATTTTTGGCTGCCGGACAGTCATCTTTTAATATAAATATATACTTGTGCATATATCATATATATATAGATATGCTGAATTTACCGATTTACCCGTGATTAGCAACTGCATGCACATGCAAAGGGTGATCGCTGATCGCAATATGAATACTGTATATATTTATATACACATAACTATTTATATAATATGAAGGTTTTCTATCCTTACTTGCGAGTGTTACTCTACCAAGTGGCAACCTTTCAGAGAAGAGGAGTTTGACCGGGTTTTGATACACTTGACCAGACCAGATCTTTTCAAATCCCAGGATCGAGTCTGCAATCCTCCCTCCGTGCTGGAGATGCACGAGCTTGGAACGTGATGGGACTGTGACAGAGTGAGAACGGCAGATGAGACGAGGGGTGTGGATTCACTGAGGCTCCTCAGGCCGCCTAAGAGAGAAACAACTTTGCACAAAATTGTGAACTCATCCGTTGTCTTTGGTATTTCAAGGTTGGTTTGCAGGAGAACTATCAGGATTCGCTTGTGTTTTTTGTCATTGACACATTCAAGGATTTTCTTGGTAGTTCTCCTGTTGACAAACCCTGTGATTGTGTGGTGCTGCTTGGACCACATCCGCATGGAGCAAGACTACAGTTTCACCATCTCGATTCAAGAAGCACCCAATGCGATGCAACTGGCCAAGGGCCATCAGTCTTGGGACACATACTGTGTACCGTCAAGAGGGGGGACCTTCCAAATCCTTTCTCAAACTTGTTTGATTAGTTGAACATTCATAGTGACTCGGAGGTCCTCTGGTTTCATACAAAGAGATGCTAGCGGTGACAAGAGCCCTTGAACTTGTCCGCTGGCTCGTTTCTCGAGCGCAAACAACTCCGTAACTCTGTGGTTGCCAGCTGGACCACACACTCATGGATATGCATACGGACTTGATAGCGGTGCCACACGCCGGCCTAGGGTTCCATTTCCTAAGAGTACGAGTAAGAACCACGGAGCCTCGAGGTCTTCAAGAGGAAATAGGGCCAAAGTCTCAAGATCGAAGGCGACGATCAAGTCGACATGACGACGTGCGCTCTGGACTGCCAAATGTAGCTACCTGTGAGGTTCTGGGCTTAGCCTCATGCCATTCAGAAGACTCGGAAAATGGCAGGTACGTCTGGCTGATCAGGCCAGATATCCGCATGTACTGTGGCCGCTTCGTTGGACCATCGCTCACAGCACATGGATGGTCCCCCTGCTGTAAAACAAAACAAATGCAAAAGCATCCCTATGACTCCAAGGGTGACACACACACACGCCTCCCCGAAGGGAGGCAAGATTTTAAGCTCCATGCCGAGGGTAAGGTGAGACTAGGAGAATCAACTGAAAAACTAAGGCTCCAACAGGTTCCAATGAACCTCAAAAGTACTTCGGTCGCTCTGACCACGTTGAGGCGTTAAGCCAGCTTGGACCGCTGCGGTCACGTAGAGGCATGAGCCAACTTGGAATTCCAAAGATGGGACAAAAATCATCGGACGTACGGCCTAGGCCACCTTCGCCCGCTCTGGGCATCTACATCTCCGGGCAGGGGAGATATGACGTACACCCGTTCGACGGGTCCACGGGAGGCACTCTGCGGGCTCATCCCGGGTTGGCACGAGGCCAAACACACTCATGGATATGCATACGGACTTGATAGCGGTGCCACACGCCGGCCTAGGGTTCCATTTCCTAAGAGTACGAGTAAGAACCACGGAGCCTCGAGGTCTTCAAGAGGAAATAGGGCCAAAGTCTCAAGATCGAAGGCGACGATCAAGTCGACATGACGACGTGCGCTCTGGACTGCCAAATGTAGCTACCTGTGAGGTTCTGCCATTCAGAAGACTCGGAAAATGGCAGGTACGTCTGGCTGATCAGGCCAGATATCCGCATGTACTGTGGCCGCTTCGTTGGACCATCGCTCACAGCACATGGATGGTCCCCCTGCTGTAAAACAAAACAAATGCAAAAGCATCCCTATGACTCCAAGGGTGACACACACACACGAGAAGTTCAAGTATCCACGAGCCAATCCCAAGCCCTTGGGTTTGTTTCTACATCGAAGCCTGATTCCACACATTTCAAGATATTCTGCCAAGATTGCCAAGATTCCACTCCACACATTTCCACACTTCAGTCACTTCTGCGCGCTTGGTTTCTTTGCACCTTCAACCAGGTCATGGAGCTGGAGCCGCGGCTGGGGGTCTTGTCGGAGCCCACTGAGGCGACGCGCTCGATTCCATCGGTTCCTGCGGATTCCACCGGCGCCACAGAATTTCACAGGGATGCTGGTTCGCATGGTGAGCCTCATGGAAGCCTCATTCATTAGCTTGAGAAGATGTTTCAGCGGTCTCAAAAGGCCCTTGGTTAGAGAAAAACTTTATGGCACCATAAAACTGGAATCACCACGACGTGGGCTTCGTGGTGTTTCGGTGGCGATGACAGTCTCACGCTGGCGACAGGTGCGAGTGAAGACTTCAGGCTTCGTAGAGTCAGAGATCCTCAAGGTGCCTCGAGTCCGGGAGCTTCAAACATGGAGACATGGGGCTAGAAGCTACTAAACAAGGGCATGGCTATTAGTAACAGGTGCATCGCTACTAGTAGCTAAGAATCTACTAGTAACAAGGGCATCGCTACTAGTAACAAGTGCATTACTACTAGTAGCAAAGAAACTACTAGTAACATGGGGCATTCGAGAAGTCACCTCAGCCACCATGAGCCACCCTCGAAGATGGAAGGGTCAATCTTAAGCATTTGGCCTCTGTAGATCGAGTGAATCTGACTGGGTACCTAGGGTACAGTGGAACATGCGACGAAGTGCTCCAGTGCTGATGATCTACATGTCTCTAATGACTCTAATGGTTTGGATGGTTTTTGACCAGCGCTCACCAGGTCCGCTTGGATTTTCCCAAAGAATGCGGCAAAGGGCCCAAGACGGTGCCGGCGCAGTATGACCACACCTCCGGGGACCGCGTGGGTTCAGGGGAAACGGGAGGGAGATCAAGGAGAGGAGGTGGTCCCCTAGTAGCGTCCTTGCTCCTAGTAGCGATGCCAGGAACCCCTAGTAGCGTCCTTGCTCCTAGTAGTAAGGCCAGGAGCCCCCAGTCAGAGGAGGTGGTCCTGGAATATGAGATCCTACATTCATGTTCGGCGGTCTGGTGGAGACATACTTTCCGATGTTTTTTTAGTCTTCCCCAATCTGCACAGAAAAGCTGGGTCCATTCCTGTCAATCTTGCTGAATCTTGCTGTCCGCAATGTTTCGGCAAGCAGGAGTTATCAGCAGTTGTGGGTCCAACTTCCATTATATAATCATTCTTGATGATCGTCCAGATATACAACTGGATACAAGTTGATACAAGAGACAGGCTGGAGGCTGCTCCTCAATATCGATTAGCCTTTCTGGAGAAGGCCTTCCTCTTCAGTGGAGATCCGTTGGTGGGACGAGAACTTCCCAAGTCGCCGCCACCGGCCACGCGGTGACCCTCCGTGGCTGAGAGGATGTGGTTTTCACGATGCCTCCGCTGGATGTGCCGCGGAAGGCACGGCACGGGGCGATGAGACTCGTGCGACTCATGGGACTCGGAGTCTCCTTGATGCCGATCGCTAGTAGTGTCCTTGCTCCTAGTAGTAAGGCCAGGAGCCCCTAGTAGCTTCTTGTTACTAGAAGCGAGGCCAAGGGCTAAAGGAACGTGGGCTGGAGATTCGGAGCTTGAGATGCAGCTATGGCTTTTTGTTTGATAAGGCGGCGACAGAAGAAGCTGAAGGCAGGGTGGACTTTCAGCTCCGGCTTCTCGATTTCAAAAGTCACCGAGAAGGGGGTGTTCATCCAAGTCTCATTCAACATGTCGCCTGCAGGAGACGAGGCTGCGGACACTGGTTCTTCCGCAGGTTTTCCCAGATGAAATGGGAGAACAAGACCAGTCATATGGTTTTGTCACGTGTATGTTTGTCCATCAAGCAATAAGGCCTTGTACTTCTCTTTGAGATTTTGGTGAAAGCGCATCAATTGCTTGTCACCAATCCAACAAAAACAGTGGCAAGTTAGAAGACACCGACAGGAAACAGAAAGCCGTTGTTGAATGTTGTTTTGTTCTCATCATTGAAAGTCAAGGAAAAAGGCATATTCATATTCAAGTGGCTTGACATCCTGGTGTCTCACGCTGGCTGTATACAGCTCATTTGGACCTTGCCATGGAAATTATATAGTTGATTATAGTTGTTGGTTTTGCCGTGCTTAGAACACTTTGGAGCGGGGATGCATCTAGGGTTGCTACTGAAACAATTGGAGGAAGACTTCTCCAGCTCATTGTCCGCATGCCGTGACAATCGTTCCTCTAAGAAGACAGACACGCTATTGCTGCAAGTCTGCAAGAGTCTGCAAGTATCTCTTAGCGCAGAGCTTCCCCCACCACATCCCCAATTCAGGCATGTTGTTTGGAATGCACCAACTTCACTTTTGATGGGACGTGTTTTCACAGACCCCCTTGAGCAACCTCTGGGAGTCTCCGCTGCTCCGCTGATGGATTTGACAGAACCGCTGACCTAAGGCGACGGAGTCTGCTGTAGCTGGTGTGGAGGCGAGAGAGCTGCAACGAGCGCAGCCATGTGCAGAGATCGCCCTGGTGTCATGTGGTTTGCCACCGTGAAACCCTCGAGGCAGGTGATGGCAGGAATGTTGCCGAAAGAGCTCCCTTTGAGAAATGCGCATGGACACGATTCGACCCGACCTTCTAGTTTGGCAACTTAACCACTTTGCAAGGCACTCAACTTCAAAAAGGCCTGCAGCATGAAAGCTTTGCACAACATCTTAGGTCAAAAAGCACGTGCGTGAGCAGGGTCCCAATGGTCACGGGTGGCGTCACCTGGTTTCGACCTACGTTTGACCCATGTTGCAGGTCCCCAGTCACTCAGTCACTGGGCCACTGGGCACTGTTGGGTCACTGGAGCTTCCCCGCGTGGCCGACAGAGAGCTCTAGGTCTTCGTGGAGCTCTCGCTGAATGGGCAGAACTTTACAGAGGACCGAGCTAAACCGGAAGATACCTGAAGGGTGTTTGGATTCGTTTGGGCACTGGCCGGGCGTTGGGGGTGGTTTGGGGATGCAGCATCAGAATGTCCAGGATCAGACGAAGCTAGTGAAGCCTTGCCCCGAAGGAATGAGTCGCCTGGTTTACGATGTTTACGTTTCCGGACGGTGGCCCACATCACTACAGCCAGTCCCGACAGGGATTCCGGCAGGACCACGTGCATTTCTGCTACGTCGGAGATATCAACCCTGAGGTGGGATGCTTTTGCACTTGCGTTATGATGTACCTTACAGCCTAACTCTGAAATCTCAAGGATTCATAAAAAAGCAAAAAAAAGCAAAACCACACTCACAAAGGATGACCAGGAAATGCAAAAGAAATGCATAAAAAAAGCAAAAAAAAGGCAGCTGGTCAAAAAGAGTGCATATCAAAAAGCAAAAACATGCAACAGGAAGCCAGAAAAAAAGCAAAAAAAAAAGCAGAACAGCAGTTCAAAAAAAGCAAAAAAAATGCACATGCACGACCAAATTTCACACACCACCTTTTTTGTGCGATTTTCTTGCTTTTTTTTGCATTTTTTGTGCGATTGTTTTGCATGTTTTTTGCATTTTTTTGTGCGTTTTTTGTGCTTTTTTTGCGATTTTTTTTGCGTTTTCTCAAGGAAACGCACAAAAAATGCAAAAAAAAATCGCCAAAAAAACGC